CTTCAAACAAAGAGAGAAGTGAAGAATTACTCTCATTTCTGTGGTCTTTTTTGTAGCCACCAGACCACCATCCAGCATTCAGAGACTATTATATTAACTTGGGTTCAGCCTTGGACTACCTAATGCACTTACACCTCCCAAGAAATCCTCTACCATCCCTTCCTTTTACTTCAGTAAGTAAATCTGAGTCCTTTAGTCTCGAAGCTGTCCCAGGAAAACCTTATATCTGCCACTGCTGATTAGAAGTTGATTTTTCAGACACTTAGCAAGGGTGGTATATTTACCAAAATCCCCTAGAATATCTGATGGGGTAAGGGGGATACACACATTGGGCTGGAGGTGAACAGAAGGCCCTACTTGCTTGCCATACTTGTTAATGATTGCCTTTTGTTCCAACAGAAATAACTGAGGTCTGAACACCAAATACCTATTACTACCACTCTAGTCTCATCAGTAGTTTCAGGTATATATTAATAGAATTCCCATTTTTAAAATACCTTGGCCCTTGAAATTCTACAGAACACAAGGAAAAACAAACATAAAGGCATACAAAAATTTATCACCTCCTTAATGGAATTCTGTGATCACAAATAAATCAGGCCAGATTCCAATAAAAATCAAGTAAATTCCAGTAACAAAAAGTCCCTGTAATCTTTCAGTTCTATTAACTCCAATCAGATGTCAAAGGCTATAGCTCAAAACTCTCAAAGGCCTGGGCTTTCAGCTTTATATTTTGCTTCGCATATTCCCTAGTACAGTGGTTCCAAACATGACTGCACATTACAAACACCTAGAAATCTCTTTAAACTGCTGATGCCAAGATCACACTTCCTACCAATTGCACAGAATGTCTTAGGATCAGAGCCTGGCATCAGGATTTTTTAAAGATCCTTAGGTGATTCCAATGTGTGTCTAAGTTTGGGAACTGCTATATTCTTTGCATTTCCACTCTATCCTTTAATTTGTTTTCTATTTCACTTTTGTTAAATAGGAAAATGCAAGAAAATATCATCTAAGTTAAAAACAGCCGAATCATATTTTACCTATACTCATCTCATAAAATGTATGAATTTGAATATAATTCATATTGGCTGTAAAATAACTCTTTCAAGTAATTCTAAAAATGAGAAAATGAAAAAATTCCTCCTTAAGTAATTCTTAGGTCCAAATTTACAGTCACTGGGGGCAGGCAAATTCTTATTCAGTCCAAAAAACTATTCCAAATTCCAAGAGCAAAAGTTCCAGTGTTCTTCAAATATTTGAAATTAATAGAAAAGGACACTCTGCATGTCTAGTCAATGCAAAATAGATGGTTTGATCCAGGAGTTTTACATTTAATCACAATGAATAATTAGTTAATATGGGAAACTTTTTATGAGAAAAATCATTATCCCAGATTAAATCATAATCACTTTTCAAAGGGGTTAAGAACAGAGACCTAAATATACAATAATGTTGGAGTATCAAGAAAATTACCACAGGAACATCTCATTATTTGTTCAAGGAAAAACACAAATATTCATGACATTTATCCCCTAAGAACTGATTTCATTCAAGTGAGTTCATGTGGCTTTATTTTTTGCTGAGATTTTATTTCATTCTAGTAAAATCTAGAGAATTCTTTGAATTCCACTAGAACATATCCATACAATGTGCCTACCATGCCATATGTTTTTATTTATATTCTGACCAGATTAAGTAATGTAGAGGCAGTCCTGAAATAATGAATTTGAAACTTTAAAAAAAAATGATATTTTTTAAGACATGAAAAGTAGAATCAGAGGTTTATTTGGCTTGATGTTCATATTTGGGAACTTCAGAAATTAGCACCTCATTTAATATCTATTGTACCTTGTGTATCAATATCTATTTTTCTATTCTTTCTTTCTTCCAAGAAAAAATTCTTCATAGAAAAAAATGAGTCAACCAACCAAGCAAAAACAACAAAATAACCAAATCAATCATCTAAAAACATCTAGTAAAATATTAGAATTGGGTTTCTATATTTTGGTAATAGCTTAGAGAGAATTGAAAGCAGCTAATGTTCCTTTGGAGGAAATGGAACAGCTGAGAGATTAGATAGCTACTTTCTTACCTGTAAAAATGCTGCCTCTTCATTGCTGTACTTCTCACCCACCCCATCCATTCCACTATAGCTAAAGACTATCTTTAACTACAACAAAATATAATTCTTCTAGATGACTAGTTTTCCCCCAGCCCCACTGCCAAAACCCTGGTATGCTGCCAAACCACATTGTTCTGGGTAACAGCACCCAAATGCTGCTAGAAAGCTACCTCATGTTAAGAAAATACTGACTTCAAAAAATATCCACAAAAGAGTACAGATTTCCAAATCACAGTTCCTTAACTTTTTAATGGTGGATGGAAATTAAATTGGTAGTAGTTATGCAGGAAATTAGTTTTAGTTTTACTTAGAATTTTAAAATACACACAAACATTCTTTCAGTCACACGGACTAACTTTTCATAAATATGGCTTCAATATTATCTTCAATTTATGTTAACTTTCACTAGATGTTTAAATGATTATTTTATGGTTCTGTCTTGGAAAACTGGGTCATGATTTGAATCATGGTGATAGGAAGATTCTCCAGGATGCCTTTTATAGAATAAGGGCCAATAAAAAAAAGTTAGCATTTTGAGTAAATTGTCTCTGTATTCACAGCTATAAAATTTGATAAAATTTATTACTATTGTGTAACTCTAGCCCTGAGATTTCCTAAAAGGAATTAACTAAAAGTGAACAATGTGCCTCAATATTCATATAAGGCCATGATCATTTAACTCCTTCTAATGCTCATAAAAGAAATTCCCAGGGGATGAAAATGTACCAACAACTTAACCTAGAGACTTGATACTTTTTATATTTTGTAGACACCTTTTCATATATAGTAGATACATCTGTTAAAGACAGAACTATGGTTCAGATATGGCACCATAAGTGAACTTTGTGATAAATACTTTTGAAAGAAAACATTAATAGCATAATTTAGGAATTTTAATATACTTACTGGAAGACAGAGAGAAACTAGGCAGCAAACATTCCTGCCTGTCATTCAACAGTCATCTACTGGGTTTTGTTAAACTGACTGTCAAATTTGATGTTGAGATTTTACCTCATTCTAATAACATCTGGAAAATGCTCTGAGTTTTTTAAGAATATATTCATAGAAACTTCAATGTATTCACCAGGCTATATGTTTATATTTGCCAACATTAGAACAAAGCAACATAAGTCTTGCTGTAATCAGTAAAACAATTATAAAAATGAGATTTTTCTGACTCCCATACCCTATTTCTTTATTTATGAAGTAAAACATTTTTTTAAAAATTGTATTCTATAAAAAATGGGTACAAAATATTCTACTGTTCCCAAAATATCCCCATTTTAAAAGCCAAGTTTTTCTTACAATGTTTACACAGAAAGGAAAAAGTGTACATTTAATAGTGAAAGCAGTATATACCTTCAGCAAACAGATTCATTTATGAGAGACTGGAGACCTTAAACATCCCCAATTCTCAGTTTTGTAGGAAAGACAAAAAGAAAACTTCATACTTCAGTTAACAGTGAAGGGAAATTCACAACCAATCTGGAAGAGAAAAACAGTTCCCTTATTTTTCTGGAAATCAGAAGCCTTCATTCACTCAAAAGTGCTGGAATGAAATATAGAACACTTGTGCACCCACATCTCTGCAGACTTTTATCCTATTTTGAGAGAGAAACCAAGAAAAAGAATGTGCCTTGTTCTCTCTTCACATACATTACTTTATCTAAGGGGAAATGAAAATGTACCAACAACTTAACCTAGAGACTTGATACTTTTTATATTTTGTAGACACCTTTTCATATATAGTAGATACATCTGTTAAAGACAGAACTATGGTTCAGATATGGCACCATAAGTGAACTTTGTGATAAATACTTTTGAAAGAAAACATTAATAGCATAATTTAGGAATTTTAATATACTTACTGGAAGACAGAGAGAAACTAGGCAGCAAACATTCCTGCCTGTCATTCAACAGTCATCTACTGGGTTTTGTTAAACTGACTGTCAAATTTGATGTTGAGATTTTACCTCATTCTAATAACATCTGGAAAATGCTCTGAGTTTTTTAAGAATATATTCATAGAAACTTCAATGTATTCACCAGGCTATATGTTTATATTTGCCAACATTAGAACAAAGCAACATAAGTCTTGCTGTAATCAGTAAAACAATTATAAAAATGAGATTTTTCTGACTCCCATACCCTATTTCTTTATTTATGAAGTAAAACATTTTTTTAAAAATTGTATTCTATAAAAAATGGGTACAAAATATTCTACTGTTCCCAAAATATCCCCATTTTAAAAGCCAAGTTTTTCTTACAATGTTTACACAGAAAGGAAAAAGTGTACATTTAATAGTGAAAGCAGTATATACCTTCAGCAAACAGATTCATTTATGAGAGACTGGAGACCTTAAACATCCCCAATTCTCAGTTTTGTAGGAAAGACAAAAAGAAAACTTCATACTTCAGTTAACAGTGAAGGGAAATTCACAACCAATCTGGAAGAGAAAAACAGTTCCCTTATTTTTCTGGAAATCAGAAGCCTTCATTCACTCAAAAGTGCTGGAATGAAATATAGAACACTTGTGCACCCACATCTCTGCAGACTTTTATCCTATTTTGAGAGAGAAACCAAGAAAAAGAATGTGCCTTGTTCTCTCTTCACATACATTACTTTATCTAAGGGGAGGGGAGACACCAAAAAACAGTGCTTCTGCCAGCAGGAACTTCTTGGACACAAGAATATCATTCCCACTCTGGGTTTAGCAATGTCCCTCTGGGGTGACAATATATCCCTAGCTTTGCCAAGACAGCCCTGGCTTATGTCTGTTGTCCTACTTTATAAATATCAACACTAGCCCCTCTTACTCTCAAATGTGTCCCAGTTGTAGACAACAAATTAAACAATGACCTCATCTTTACCGGCTTTTTTTTTTTAATGCTGTAGAATTGGCTTTATCTGCTCCAGAGCACACGCAGCTTAAACTAAAGGGCCCAACTACTCAAACAGAGAGGAATGCATCGTCTTCTCCTGCATGGTTACCCTCAATCCACTCCCCATCTAGCTGACCCTCTGCCCAGCCCCTTTCTGGTCCTAGTTTTCCTCACACTGCCCATGGGCTCTGGGTCCTGAGTGAGTTTTGCCTTTAATTAACAGAACTAGCAGCCACTTAGCCAGTCTGGCAGGGGACAAGATGAAAGCCCTCAGAGACATGTGCTTGTCCTGGCAAGATTCATCCGGCATTAGTAGGGTCTTAGAGGATTTGCTGGTTCCTTTCTTCCTTAAGCGAAGTTACTTATACCCCAAACCAGAAAGGATTTCCCCAAACCTTAAAAAGCACATTGGCTTCTTCCCTTAATTCCTGTTTTACGAATTTGCTTAAATATTAATTCACTTGCATTTAACTTCATTACGGTTGTTCATGAACTGTTCTTCACCCAAAAGTCTTCACATAATTCCATATAAATATTTGATTATATTTTAATGAAAAATACTATTAACAGGTATTTTCATTTTTACACTTCCTTTATTCACTTTACTAATATTTAGAATTAAACAAATTATATAGTACTATTACTATTAACACACAAACCTGTTCTTCAGTAGAATGTATGATTCTGTACTTGCTATATACCTACTCTTATGCCAGAAACTATGAACTATGAATACAAATATATAAATAGATGTTTATATCTATCTCTCTATCATCTATCTATCTATCTATCTATCTATCTATCTATCTATCTATCTATATCTATCTATCTATCTATCTATCTATCTATCTATCTATCTATCTATCTATCTATCTATCTATCTATCTATATATATACATATATACCTTTCTGTCTTCCTTCCCTACTTCTTTCCTTTCTTTCTCCTATGGAGTACAAACTTTAGTGATCCATTCTGAATTTTTAAAAATGGAATATAATTGCACTTAATTTAAGTGCATCAGCTGGTAGATTTTGTTACTTAAAATCCCAAAAATAAATCAACTCTGTTCTAAACTTTAAGTTTCCATTATTATTACCAAACACTAGGTTGGTACAGTAAGCCTTTTCAAAGATGAATTTAACCCTTGCTCTATTACCATTGTTTTTTAAGTAAAATGAGTTGTCAAATATTTTCTCCAGAAGAAATATAAAAGACAGCAAAAATAGGAAGAAATAATTTTAGAGGTCCAGAGCTTTAAAACATGCTTCAAAACTTGGAATTGACAAATTTGCATACTGATTTATGATGCTAATGAGCACTTACCCATGCATTTTGTTTACTTGCAGTTGTTAACTATTCCTGTTTTCCAAGTATACTTGTGTTTATAAAATCCAGAAATCTATTTAACAAACTTTGTACCTATATTTTTTGTAACAAAGTATACATTTGCAATGAAGTATACATATTTTATTCAAATGTAGGTTTTATTTTGAAACTTGGCACTTGCCACTGTAATTCCTAAGAGATCTTTGGACTCATAAGGTGCAGATAAATCTATTCTTGATCCATCATATCACTGGTTTAAATATTTAATGTAATTATTGGTATTTTTATTCCTATTCCTTCATGAGCCCTCTTTTTTTCTACTTTTCTGACTGTAATATAGCCAGATATTGTTATCCTGTCTTAATGAAAAGCATGCTGTCAGCAAAATGCATTTCTACTTTCCAGATGTTAAACAATCTCCTGCTTCTTTTCCTTTTTTGTTATTATTGACTATTTATGTGAAGTTAGTTAGCTGAAGTACCAAAAGCAAGAGAAAAAACAGTATTAAAGAGTGTGCATAAAGCACTTATTTTTGTACTCTGAGTACAATGTTTTATAGAACACTGTGACCTATCTAAATATATTAAATTACAACATTCATTTACTAAGAAGATAATTATTGGTTTGGAAAATATGACCATAATGGGCACTGTAGAATCATAAATCACATGAAATAAGAAATAATGCAATTTAGCGATGACTAGTGTGATTCTAGGATGGCAAAATGACTTCAGTTGAATTTTCAAGTAACATTATAAAGTTTTTTAAAGTATCAACATGAGTTAATGATTTATTTTTCTTCCCTAAAAACTAGAATTGTACAATATACATATATACCTTTCTGTCTTCCTTCCCTACTTCTTTCCTTTCTTTCTCCTATGGAGTACAAACTTTAGTGATCCATTCTGAATTTTTAAAAATGGAATATAATTGCACTTAATTTAAGTGCATCAGCTGGTAGATTTTGTCACTTAAAATCCCAAAAATAAATCAACTCTGTTCTAAACTTTAAGTTTCCATTATTATTACCAAACACTAGGTTGGTACAGTAAGCCTTTTCAAAGATGAATTTAACCCTTGCTCTATTACCATTGTTTTTTAAGTAAAATGAGTTGTCAAATATTTTCTCCAGAAGAAATATAAAAGACAGCAAAAATAGGAAGAAATAATTTTAGAGGTCCAGAGCTTTAAAACATGCTTCAAAACTTGGAATTGACAAATTTGCATACTGATTTATGATGCTAATGAGCACTTACCCATGCATTTTGTTTACTTGCAGTTGTTAACTATTCCTGTTTTCCAAGTATACTTGTGTTTATAAAATCCAGAAATCTATTTAACAAACTTTGTACCTATATTTTTTGTAACAAAGTATACATTTGCAATGAAGTATACATATTTTATTCAAATGTAGGTTTTATTTTGAAACTTGGCACTTGCCACTGTAATTCCTAAGAGATCTTTGGACTCATAAGGTGCAGATAAATCTATTCTTGATCCATCATATCACTGGTTTAAATATTTAATGTAATTATTGGTATTTTTATTCCTATTCCTTCATGAGCCCTCTTTTTTTCTACTTTTCTGACTGTAATATAGCCAGATATTGTTATCCTGTCTTAATGAAAAGCATGCTGTCAGCAAAATGCATTTCTACTTTCCAGATGTTAAACAATCTCCTGCTTCTTTTCCTTTTTTGTTATTATTGACTATTTATGTGAAGTTAGTTAGCTGAAGTACCAAAAGCAAGAGAAAAAACAGTATTAAAGAGTGTGCATAAAGCACTTATTTTTGTACTCTGAGTACAATGTTTTATAGAACACTGTGACCTATCTAAATATATTAAATTACAACATTCATTTACTAAGAAAATAATTATTGGTTTGGAAAATATGACCATAATGGGCACTGTAGAATCATAAATCACATGAAATAAGAAATAATGCAATTTAGCGATGACTAGTGTGATTCTAGGATGGCAAAATGACTTCAGTTGAATTTTCAAGTAACATTATAAAGTTTTTTAAAGTATCAACATGAGTTAATGATTTATTTTTCTTCCCTAAAAACTAGAATTGTACCCTTTTTGAATAAATATCTAAATATTAATGTCTCGTAATTGCAATGTCCTTTTTGTGATTTCTTTACATTTGCCCTATTACAGAAGTTCCCTCCGGCACATCTTCTGAGAGTAGAAGTAACTTTTAATAATTAAGTGTATTATTTTCCAATCAATAAAGAAAACAAGAGAAATACTCAAAAACTAAAAATAGTGAGAAAACATGACTCCAGGAAGGTAAGTAGGCTCTGAAGTCAACATTTGCCCTGGGGGCATCTGCTAATGTCTACTGGATGAGAATAGAGGTCAGTAAACTGTCCCCTGAGGACCAAATCTAGCCTTCATCTTTGTTGTGCTTTGTTGACCCCTGAACTAAGAATGGTTATTATATTTTTCAAGGACTGGGCTAAGATGTTTTTTACATTTTAAGGAGTTGTTTTAAAAAAAGGAAGAATTTGGGTCCAAAACCATATATGGCCCACAAAGCCCAAAATATTTACCATCTGACCCTTTCCAAAAGTTTGTCAATCCTACACTAAGTCAATGGCACATATTTCAACTTCTGTTACAGGTAGCACCCACTTCTAAGCACCAAATTCTGAATTAGCTAGGATTAGATTTGGCTGCCAATGACAGTTCCCAAAAGAGCAGCCATTTAAATGAGATACGACTGTCCTGCATTCAAAAGTCCCCAAAAGCAATAAAATGCTGGTAGTGTGCTTCACAGTCTTGAAGAAAAGGTCCTTCTTTTTGTTGCTTTACGTGCATGGTCTCAATCTCAGGGTCTAAGATGACAGTATTTACATTCCAAACCGATGGGTAGAGAGAGACAAAGCAGAAGAGGAAAGGACACCTACTAGCTTTTCCTTAAGGGGATTTACTGGAAGCTTCCACACACTGTGGCTGACAGCACATTGGCTAGAACTTAGCTGCATAACTACGCTATGTAGGATACTAAAGATTGTAGTATGATTCAAGAATGAGAGGATGAACCTTGGCAAGTTGTTGCTTTTACCTGTCCTACAAGATTGGAGCACAGGCAAAAATCAAATTGAATTATAGAAAAATAAAGTAATTTTTTTTCTTTCATGCTTGTGTTTGTGAACTGAGACTTGATACTCTAACTAACCCTCAAGGTCTACCTCAATGTAGTTTCAATTGTTCTTTTTAATCCCATGCTGCCTTGCATAGTGGCTAGGAGCACAGCCTTTAAAGTCGGTCAGAACTGAGTTTGCTCTGCCCAATACTAACTGTTGGGGACTTGGGAAAATGACTTAAAACTACCCAATTCTGTTTCCTCATCCATTAAAGAGAAATTATAATCTCTCCCTCTAGAGACAGAGATTAGAATACTCCTCATAGTGTTTGACATGGTAAGAATCAAATAAACAGAAGTCATTATTACAACAAAAATCTACAAATGGGACTTATGATTCTGATGGAAATTTCCGGATTTTTTTCTCTAAGGAACAAGTGAAAATCAGGCTCACAGACTTCTGGTGTTGTCCAAACTGAAATGAACCAATTGCAGTCTGTTTCTCCCACTGATTACAACAGTTCTAAAAGGCAGCCTGGTCAAACCAAGTCAAAGCTTCAAGATTGATCTTTAACAGTAGTGAGTTTTCTGGGGATTTTTTTCACCCTTTGTTTCCCCTTTATTTCCTCAGGATTTAACCTGAGGGTGACCTGAGTCAGAGAATTGTGCAAGTATGAACACTAAAACTTCCAAGAGCAGGCCCCCTTTCTAACCAGAAGCCCAAAGAAGAAACTCCTGAAAAGATGATAATGAATATCAATAAAATAAAAACCAGGAAAACAAGAATATTAATGAAACCACAAGCTAGTTCTTTGATAAAATCAATAATATTAGTAAGTATTAGTAAGCCAAACTGACGAGAAAACAATTTACTAATATACCACTGATTCTACAGATATGAAACAGATAAGAGAACAAATTTATGAAAATAAATTCAGCACTTTACATGAAATGGGAAAATTCCTTGAAAGACACCAACTACCAAAGCATAATCAAGAAGAAATAGATAACATGCATAGAACAATAGCTATTAAAGAAACTGAATTTATAGATAAAAACTTACCCACACAGAAAATTCTGTGTCTAAATGGATTCACTGGTGAATTCTACCAGATAGTTAAGGACGAAACACAAATTCTATAAAAACTATTCCAGACAGTTGAAAAGGTTGGACTATTCCCTTGCTTATTCTCTAAGGCCAGCTCTCCCCAATATCAAAATCAGACAAAGAAACATCAAAAGAAAACCTTATGATCATAACAGTGCTCAGCCCCGTAAGAACTAAAGGGAATTTCCTCAAAATGATGAAGTGCTTCTACAAAAACCTACAGCTAACATAATGTTAATGGTGAAAAACTCTAGTCTTTCCCCCTGAGATCAAGAACAAGACCTGGATGTTCTATTCAGCAGTGAGCTAGAGACTCTCATCAGTGCAATAACACAAGAAAAGAAATGAAAGAATCCAAACTGAAAAGGAAGACATTGTCTTTATTCAGAGACAATTCTCTACAGACAGTCCTTGACTTACAATGTTTCAACTTACAATTTATTTACTTTATAATTACATGAAAGTGATACACATTCAGTAGAAACCATACTTCAAATTTTGAATTTTGCTCTTTTCCCAAGTGAGTGATATGCAGTTCAATTCTTTGTCATGATGCTAGACAAATGCAATGAGTTGCAGCTCCCAGTCAACCATGAAATCAGGAAGGTAAAAAAATCAATACACTTACAATCATTCTGTATCCACACAACCATTCTGTTTTCCACTTTCAGTACAGTATTCCAATATTTACATGAGATATTCAATACTTTATTATAAAATAAGCTTTGTGTTAGACAATTTTGCCAACTATGGCTAATGTAAGTGTTCTGAGCACATTTAGATAAGCTAGACTAAGCTATGGTGCTCAGTAGGTTAGGTATATTAAATACTTTTTGACTTATGGTATTTTCAGCTTAGGATAGGTTTATCAGGATATAACCACATAGTAAGCCGAGGAAGATCTGTACAGGAAATCTGATATACTCTACAAATAGTGCTGTCAAAACTAGTAAGTTAGTTTAGTAAGGTTGCTGGATATAAGATCAATATCTAAATATTAATTATATTTCTATATACTAACAACAAACAATCCACAGTTGAAATTTCAAAAGCAATACAATTTGTAATACCATCAAAAAATATGAAATACATAGGATTAAATTTGACAGATGTGAGAAGCTTGTACAATAAAACTATAAAACATTTCTCAATAAATGGATCAATTTCATTTCATTCAAAACTTAAATAAATGGATAAATATACCATGTTCATGGGTCAAAACACTCAACGTGTTAAAATGTTAATTCTCCCCAATTGATCTATAGTTTCAAGGTAATCTCAAACAAAATTCCAAACACAAAAGTAATTTAGAATTGACAAAATGATTCTTAAATTTATACAGTAATATACATAGAATATGCTAACACAACTTTGAAAAGAAAAACAAAGTTTGAGGTCTTATACTACATGACTTCTAGACTTATCATAAAGCTAAAGTAACCCAAGATTGTGTGGTATTGGTGTCAGAATAGCAAAATAAATGAAATGGAACAAGATAGAATCCTAACGTAGGCCCACACACATATCTATATACAACTGATTTTTTGACAGCAGTTCAAAGTCATTTCAGTGGAGAAAGGGGAGTCTTTTCAACAGATGGTGATGGAATAATTGGGTATTTATGTACAAAACAAATTTTGATCCATACCTCACAATCAATATAACAACTAACATAACATGGATCATAAAATAAAATATAAAACCTAAAACAATAAAATTTCTCAAATGAAAAATAAGAGAAGAATTCTGCAATCCTAGGATAGGCAAAGATTTCTTCGATATAGCACTAAAAGCATAGTTTATTAAAGAACAAATTGATGAACTGAATTTCCTCACAATTAAAAACTTCTGATGGTCTTCAAAAGGAAATTAAACAAGCCATAGACTAAGAGAAAATCTTAGCAAAGCATATATCTTATAAAGGACATGTATCCATAATATGTAAAGAACTCTCAAAAGTTAACACTAAAAAAAAAAACAGCCCAATAAAAACTAGACAAAAGATTTGAATGGATCCTTTGCCAAAGTAAATAAAGGGATACCATAAAGCACATAAAAAGATGCTCAAAATCATTAGTCATTAGGGAAATGCAAATTAAAACCACAGGAGATACCTCTATACATGTATTAGAATAGCTAAAATTAAAGAAACAGACCATACTGAGTGTTGGCAAGGATGTGGGAGGATTGGGACTCATACACTGCTCTCAGGAATGTCAAATGATACAATCACTTTGAGTAACAGTCTGGTAGTATCTTAGAAAGTTATATGTACATTCACTACATGATCCAGCCCAAGATAAATGAAAGCATATTTCCACACAAAAACTTGCGCATGACTGTTCTTACCAGCTTTACCTCTAATAACCTAAAACCTATCCATTTAATAGACTACTACTCATCAAATAAAAAAAAGAAATTAACTATTGATAGGCAACATGGATGAATTGAAAAACAATTATGGTGGGTAAAAGAAGCCAGATTTAAGTAGCAAATACTGTATTATAACATTTTCTAAAATCCTAGAAAATACAAACTAATATATAGTGACAGAAAATAGATCAATGGTTGCCTGAGCTTGAGGTTAGCACGGGCAGGGTGATTACAAAGGAACAACAGGGAACATTTCTGTGGGGTGGATATGTTTACCATCTTGAATGTGATGATGTTTTCACAGGTGTATAAATATGTCACAACTTATCAAATTGTGTTAATTTAAATGTGTACAGTGTATTACATATCAAATATACCTCAAACTACTTCTTAAAAGTTAAGCATATACCAGAGAGGGAGCCAAGATGGTAGCTTGAGTAGAACAGTGGAAATCTCCTCCCAAAACTATATATATTTTTGAAAATACAACAAATACAACTATTCCTAAAAGAGAGACCAGAAGACACAGGACAACAGCCAGACTACATTTACACCTGCAA